GCTCCCCATTTAGCCATCCCGGACGACAGGCAGCTGCACCCACAGACAGAGGGCAACGGAAAGGTACGTGTGGGTGATGTGAAAAGGCACTGAAGCACGCCATGTAAACACCTCTGTACTGTCTGTTCCACCAGCCGCAGGTGAGGTGTCCTTCAGGTGATACAGCGGTCCCTCGAGGGACTGACGTCACATCGGTACGGCGGCCAATACAAGAAGACATCATTGCAAAATGGGCGAACAAGTGTGTGTATGTGTCTCGTTTTGTCTGTCTGGTGGTCTAGGCATCGGTCCTGCTGTCCCAACGGGAGCCGCACCCGCAGATGGGCGGCAGCGGGCAGGTACGCGTGAGTGATGTGGAAGCCGCTGCAACTCCTCATCAAGGCACCTCTGTGCTGTCTCGCTCTCAGGACCACCATGTGGAGCAGCCGGCAGCCGACACACCGATGGGTGAGCAGCTGAGAGAGGGCCATGCGCGAATGCACTCATTCACATGGCACGTGTGCTGTTGACCTGACTGATCTCAGGAGGAGAGAGTGCCCATGGGCAGATCGACATGCCTGATCGGTCTGCAATGACCAGCGTCGCCCCGCCTGCCGGTGAGTGCTGAGAACAGGGATGATTGCATTGTATCGATTGATGCCTACGTCCGTCAGCCCTGAGTGCACACATTCACACGGTTCTATTTTGTGTGTTTCCCTGTCAGCCGTGAGAATGTGGGTGCTTGCGGCCGATGAGGCTGAGGTCTTTTCCAAGGCCGAAGCGACCGGTATACCGATCCGCAAAGTCCACAAATCAGGGGAATACGTCAGTATCGAGATGGAAGGTCAGCTGAGACACCCACCCACCCACCCACTGTGCTTATGCCCCGTGCGCGTCTGCTCAGGGTGCGCGGACTCGGTCGTTCCTGAGCTGCTCAGCCCCGTCTGGTTTCAAGTCGTCGGTGACGCAGACGGTGCGCCGCAGGCACCAAAGCGCCACACCAGTATGTTCTGCATAATGTCGTTTGTTGGGCTCTGCCTCAGGCTTCGGTCTGCCCGGTGAAATCGACTGGCAGTCACCGGACAACACGGAGACGCTCGCAGGTGACTCACGTGACACACGTCTGCCCATAGAGCCATCTCATGCACGCCTCCGTGTGCCTTTTGTCAGCTGATGTTCCTCAGCAGTGGCGGCCGTGTGACTATGCGCCTCCGGACATGCAACGTAGGCGCAGAAGTGAACATGCGCACTCAGCTGACTGTCCTCCGCCTTCTGTGTTTCAGTGGATTGTGACGTGGCCTATATGTCAAACCAGCTGCAAGACGGCCAAGCTCCGATGCACCCACCATATGCCGCTGGTGAGGTATTGCCCTCAGAAGCACGACGGTGCGCCATGCATGTGTTGCTTTGCTTGTGCATCTGTCCATAGGCGACCCACCTCCGTCGCTGCGTGACTCGTCAGACAGCGAGGCAGAAGGCGTATCTTCCTCGGCTGCTGCGGCCGCTGGGGGGCATCACGTATGGCAAGCTCACCGAAACTGAAAGCATCCTACGTGGGGACGTGCTTGTGTGTTCATGCTGTGTGTTGGAGAAACAGACGAAGGAGAAGAGGGGCCCAAGGAAAAATGCGCCGAGCTCTCGTCCAGCTCCTCCATCTCCCCTGGGTAACAATACGACACCGACACGGGACATGCGCTGGCTGGCGTGAGCGTCACTGTCCGCTTGTCTGCCCAGATCCCAACACGGCATCGGCACATGACGTCCTCAAGAGGGCGGCCGAGTACTGGCGGTGGATCCAGCTGGACACGGCTCGCTCCAGGACCACGGTCGACCCCCTCTTCACCAACACTCCCAGCCCCATATGGCTCACCCAAGAGAGCGTCGAGTACTTCTTCGGCGAGGGATGGGATATCGCTATCACAGCCGCGGACGTCGAGGACTTGAACGCGCTTCGGTCTGGCAATGGTCCAGTTGGAGGGAGGAAGAGGGAGGCAGGAGGCTCCTTACACCGGAAGCAGATCCTCCTACCGCCCTTTGCATCCCTCCCGGGACAGCAGCCAGCGCCCCGGGGCAGCCACGACCCCCGCACGGCCTTACACGTGCACTACAAAGGCCAGCCGGGGGGTCACATCCCCTTCACGCCGGTCAAGTACAGCAGGGGCTTGGCCAAGTTCGTCGAGACGTGCGTCGTCATCGAGAACGGACAGCTGTGCGGCAGGGCCTTCGCCAACAAGAGCGACCACTGGAAGACCGACCACCTCCGCCGCATGTACCTGCCTCACATGACGGCAAACCAGGTCAAGAAACTCAGGGCAGAGGCGCTTCGTCGGCACGAGCAGCGTCTCTACGCCGAGCAGCGTCCTCTGATGATTCAGCAGGTACGCGCCCGCACCCACAGGCGCACAGACACATGTTCACTGTCCCATTCCTGATGTGTGTGTGTATGCAGCTGGAGCTGCGGAGGCAGTCGGTGGATCCCTTCATCTACCAGGTAAGGTCCACACGCAGCATCAGATCCTCTCTTATCACCACGGCTGTTGTGCAGGCTGTCGTGACTTCCGCCCAGCAAGGCAGAAGCTTCAGAAACGTCGTTGAAGATAGGATGGGGAAAGGGGCTGAAAGCGTTCAGGTGAGAAGACGCAGGGTATCTGCCGTGCACTGGCAACCTGAATGTGCCTTGCGCTGCCCCTGTCTACTGCAGGCTGCTGCTGCTGCTGCTGCTGTTGCTGCTCGTGCCGGCCGTCCTATTCAATTGCCGATCCCCCCGGTGAGACCAACTGTCTGTCCTCTCTCTGCATATGTGTGTGTGTCGATTGATGTGTGTGCCTCTTGGGACTTCGTTCTTCTCATCTCAGGCGCCCCGCCCCAAGCGACTCAACGGCAGTGTCGCCAGTAGCGACCCTCAGGTACGACATCTAGATGCACGTCACAAACGAAGAAGCAGCGCACCCAGAGACCAAATGGTCTCTGCAGGACCGCGCTGCCAAGTCGGCCAGACACCGTGGACGTGAGGATGGGCAGATCCGAGCCGACAACCATGCTCAGGTGAGCCGCCTACACGAACGTTGGCGGGCCGGCCGGCCAGATGACAGCGTCCTTGGCTGCACTCTGTGACCCCCTGTCACTGTCAGGTCGCAAGTGGGGCCAATGTCTGTCAGGTGCCCCTGCCGTCTGCACACAACCACACGCAGCGCCGGTGAGCCGGAAACAGCCACACACACACACCACACCGAAACAGAAAGCTCTGTCTGCGCGTGTGCCTCTGTCTGCTCTCCATTCAGGTTCCATCCGCTGCAGTCACACCCTCAAATCTTGCCGGCGATTTCCACGGGCGTGCCGGTGACTGCGGAGCTGGTCCAGACAGCTGCTGCCGCCGTCGCTGCCGGGGGCGTACCAGTGGCCAGCCATGCACTTGGACACAACACCTTACTGGCAAGCCGTCAAGCGATGGTGTGTACGTCATGATGATCATTGTGCGTGTGTGTTTCCTTCAGCCGTCGGGCGTGTACGCTTCATCGCCGCTGCCGCTGGTGCCCCCAGCCATCGACTATGGTGCTCCAATGGACTTGATGGAGCAGGCGAACGACGCCCAGCACTCGCCCATCAGTGAGGTACCATGCGACGAACCACATTCACACACAGCAGGCTCATCCATTCTCGCGATCGTCTGTTCAGGCTCTGTGCAGACGCACACCCATCCATCAGGCCGTGAGCGAGTCCGTGTGGCACCCACAATGCTGTGATGGCGGCAGCATGAGTAGGGTGTCTATCCATCCATTTGCTTGATTCTCATGCGCATGGTCCTCTGTAGGTGTTGCCATGGCAGCGAACACTGCTGCCCGACCCAACGCCAGCGAATCGACGAGGGCCTCCATCCAGCAGGTGGGGCACAGAAAGGACGCTGATGACACAATGGGGCGTGTCGGGATGGGGCTGCTTGCACCTTTCCCTCAGGATGTTCCGATGCCATTGAATCTCTCAGCTGCCCCGCCTCCCATGGTATGAGCTGCATGGCGCCTCGTATGCACAATGATACACGGATCGGTGTATGCACCGCCTTGTGCTTGCAGGCCGAAGAACCACTCTTCTCTGGCCGCCCAACATCGCCAAGCCACGACGGTGCGGCATGCATGCCATCCGCACCTGCCGCCATCCCCACCTCGAGCAGCGACAACACGCCTCCGCGTAGGAGCCACCGGCTCATATGTGCACGCACACCGCCGATTGTTGTGAAGTGTCTGTCTTTTTGTACTGCCTGCAGTCTGGACGGAGCTGCTCGCCAACGCTCAGGCCACCATTCGCGATGTGTACCAGCCCATCTTGCAGCCCGACGGCGTAACCATGGTGGCCGGGTACGACGAGGACTCGCAGCGGATCAAGGTTTGGGTGCACTGTCGCGGGTGCCCTTCCGGCTCTCGTGATTTCACTGTGGAGGGCAAGACACACAAGGCGGTCCAGACGGTGGTTGCCATGGCATGCAAGCACGCGGTGGTGAGGAAGCGACAAGACATAAGTGTGGTGGTTCACGACCAGGTTGCTCATCCGTCTGTCTGTCTGTCTGTCTGTCTGCAGGAGACGTTGAAGAACGAAGGTGTGACCATCTCGCACCCAGGTCCATCACTTGATGATGGATCTAACTGGCCCGACACAGTGTTCGTGTCCAAGGACCGCCTCGCTCACGAGAGAGGGGGCCCTGATGCATGATTGCGAGTGTTTCTGATACTGCGTGTTGTTGCGTCACGGGTGCATGAATGGGGGCTATATGTATCCGTGGATGTATGTGTGGATGTTTCTATGTTTGTGTACCGGAAGGGAAGGGGAGCCGCACGTGATGCAAAGGGGCATCTCATCTCCTTTTGCACTCGAGGAGAGAGAGCTCCATCCGCGCCGTGCCGTGTCGCGTGTGTGATGTCCTGCCTGACAGTTCCGTGTGTGTTTGCGTGAGATGTGCGCATGACATGTCAGTGGGATGCATGTGGAGTGACTGATGCGGTGGCAACACATGGATAAGGTTCTAGTCTTGGTCCGTCGGAGGGATTGATTGCGTCGCTCGGCCGTTTGAGTTGCCGGCCTTTTCGACAGGCTCTGCCGGGACTCGTTCATTCGACGCGCAAGAGACGGATGCATGCTGTTTCTTCTTGAAAAGCGTCTGGTGTCTACGGCTGTCTGTATCGTGTACCCACACCGGCGCACAACGCATCGCCACTGAACGCAGACAGAGAACGCCGGACGCACTTGTGTTAATAAAAAGTAGGCATGCAGAGAGACGGACTTCATAAATAACGACTTCAATGGACGAAACTCATCCGTCGCCCAAGAGCTCGGCGCATAAGGTCAGTACAGAGACTAGTCAACGACGATATAAGTCTCGTCGACAGGGCAAGGACGATTGTATATCTATCAAGCCATTCGCATTATGTATGTCGCGTGACACGGAACGTGTTGGTTTCATCCACATGCCTTTGTACTCACATGTATGCATCCATGCAAGCGAACGCACAGTCAGTTAAAAGCACCAGTGGGTGAACGAAATCCGTCACGCTAGATAGCTGCATTCCTTGCCTCTGTGTCTTATCGCATTATCCTTCTACCTTAAGCCACATCACGGGACAGCACAGAGAGTGAGTCCAGAGAGTGAGTAAGCACATTACACCGCCGACCTTTCGGCTTACCGAAGCAGCAGCCGAAAGAAGAACAGTCAGAGAGCACAAAACACCACAGAGGGAAGGGACCTCAGTAGCGCAGTAATAAATGAATACAAAAAAGCAAACACACACAAACACAAAAACACACACACACACACACAGAGGAGAAGCCAACCCCACTCTCCCGCCCTGCCCTCTCAGGGCTGGGAGAGTACTTCAGCCCTCGTGGCCATGTCCCACAACTTCCATAACCTGACCTGTTGCCGTCTAAATACGACGTACCCGTCCCCCGGGACATGGCCGTCACGTATATCGAGTCGTAGCCTTCCTGCTGCAGGCTCTGGAGGGTGTGCTGGGCGATCTGGGCCTTGGTGATCTGCTTGATCTTTCCCAGGTACACTCTCGCCTCGATCATGCAGCCGCGGTTGTGGGCCTTGTTGTAGGTGGCCTGCTCGGTCGCCGCACTGACGAGACACACACCGACACACACACACACACACACACGCATATACAGGTAAAGATAGAGACAGCGAATGAGATACAGATATATTGCGGCCGGATCGCCACATGTGCTCAATTGTTATCCTCAAATGCTTACGGTCGGCTCCGGCAAGAAGGAAAATCCAGCATCTATGCACGAATGCTCCTCATGCGTCGTTCGGCAGACATAGCCGCACAGAATGCACAAATCCGTGCCACAGCGGCATCTGCACACAAAGACACACGCACACACACACTTGCCCCGCCTGCCCCTTGCCGGCCCCTCCCTGTTTGTCAAATACAGACCTGACGAATTTGCATCCCCCCGACCGCTCGATGCCTACACCGCACTTAGGGCACAGGAGGCCGCCACCCGGCAGGCTTGCAAGGTACTTCAGCAGCACACTTGTGGGATCGACCGTGTTGAACTCCTCGCACGTCAATCTGAACAGGGACGCACACACACACACACACACAGAGAGAGAGAGAGAGAGCGTGTTGGAGTTGTGAGTATGTGGCTGGTTTGCATACGTCTCGTCATGGGATCTGCAGCATGTCTTGCAGAGGACGCCCTTGCAGACATTGCATCGGAATATGGGCTTGACATCCCTGTCCTCAAGGCTGTAGATCTGCGGACAATCAGCCGTCAGGCACACGCCGAAGCGTGTCCTACTGTTGGCGTTGATGTAGTGCTGCGACGCGGCCTTGAAGAAGCTCTCCATCAGCTCTCTGTCGCCTTTGAGCGCTCGGCGGATCTCTGGCAGGCTGACGGGGCTGCCGCAGCCGTGCTGGTGGCACACGACCGGCACGTGGCCCTCCTTGACATGGTGTATCTAAGAAACAAACACAGACAGACAGACAGACAGGCATTGCCTGCAGGCCGCTCGGAGAATGGATAAGATGGATCCATTCACCTGGTTGGCAAGGCATTCCTGGTGATATGTGTGTCCACAGAAGAGGCGCAGCCCCACCTCCTCCTCTTCGACCTCACACAGACAAATTGGGCACTCCGGCAAAGGCACGGATGCCGGTCTGAAATGATACGTCCGTGTGTTCGTCATATCTTCAAGAGTTGGATCGCCCTGAGACACAGACATATGGATAAATCATTGGCTGCGCGTAGATGTGTGTGTTCGTGTCGTGTTCGTGTTTGTACCTGCACTAAGGGCGTATCCTGCACACCCATCCCTCCAGCCCCGGGGCCTGTCGCCTCAGCCCCATGTGGCACGACAACCTCTACATGGCCGCTGAGGCTCTTCTGCTGTAGAAAGGCACGCAAATGGTTCGCATGCACGCCGAGGGCGGCACTAGTGTCGAATGAGACGAGAAGGCACGACTGACGCACTTGGAGGCTGAACTCTGTCACCGCCTGCTGGATAAGGCACATTTTCACTTCCTGGCGCAGCGCGGTGAGATGGTCCGTGTTGGTCTGCCGCGTAAGTGAGACCTTCAGCTCGTTGAACTGGTCTGGTAGCAACACGCGCTTCACATAACCTCCAGAGCCAATGATGACTCGAGTGCCAGGAGCATATGAATGGTGATGCGTCTCACGGTCTGCTGTCTCCTTGAGCCACCGTTCGTTGTCCAAAAGGTTCTTCTCGACCCTGACGAGCTGCTCCACGGTCGTGATGATCTTGACCAGGCCCGTCCTCCCGTTGAAATCCACGTACACGTCATCCATCTGGTGGATAGGTATAAAAAGGGAAAACGGAATGTGATATATCATCATGTCCTTCTGTTGTCTGTCTTATTGTCGTCACCTCATTGAACATTCGAAGAGAAGATGTCTCGAGTCCCAGCGATGCGATCGGGCCGATTGATTTTTCGACACGTATCCGCCTCTCCATATCAGCGAAATCAATCTGTGTGCATACACATACGACGCATCCGTGTCGTATGCTTCCGTAGCGTTCTCACCTGATTGTGGTGAGAACGACACGCAGCGAGACTGCTGCAACTGCTGTGGTACTGCTTGCGCTGCTTCTCCTCGTCGTTGTTGTGATGGTCGAACGTGACAATGGTGCATGGGAACCATCCGGTGTGTCCGGTCTTAGCGCCCTTGATGCATGTGCCGTACATCCAGCCCTTGGTGCTGCGGCTGTCGGTGTCCGTCACCGACACTCGGTCGCCGCGACTGAGCAGCAGTAATGCAGACTGACAGCCGTCCTGGTGCGAAGGCGGGTACATGTCTGAGCACACAACCATAGACACGAATACACCCACTTGCAACATACTTCTTTCTCTTCAACCAAGCGCACCTGCAGTGATGGGCAGCTCGCACGATGTCGGACACCTACATGGACACCTCATGTCAACGCACTCACGCCGCCTCCATTCTGTCATGTACCTTGTGAAGAGCTCGACAGTCCACGCCGCCACAGTCTGCAAGAGAGGGTCCCACTTCTCGGATGGAATCAGCATGAACGAGTGGAAGAAGCCACGTACGGACTCGCTAAGAGCAAAAGATGCTGCTGCAGCGCCGCCATTTATCTTCTTGGCCAGTCGATTAAGGGCATTCTTGACGTCCTGGTCCAGCTCGGCGACGTGCGGTTTCAGCCTGTTGAGCAGCTCCTTCATGCTCTCCCCCAATTGACCGAAGATCTCCTCCTCCCTCTGATCGATTGCCTCTCGGTTCTTGTAAATGGCACTAGCGATGAAAGGAAGCTGATGGTCAATCGCTTGGACAACCTGCGCCGAGGAAACCAAGAAGATACAATGTCAAAGCACCATCAGGATTGCAGCCTACCACTTGCTCTGTTAGAGGCACTGTGCTTGAGAGACCCTTTAGTGAAACCAGCAGACTCGACACACCAAACAGCTCCAACACGACCCCATCACTGCCTGACACGCGAGCGGGGGGCAATGCCGGGCTCTGAGAGAAACGAGAGACATTGACTGCTCATCTATTGTATATCTCCCTATCCTGCGTTTTTTCGCTTGCTGTGTACTTGTCTGCGCAGCTCGTAGACATCTGCCTTCTGCGGAGGACAAAGCAAGACACAGAAAGCCATGAGTGCTCCACTGTGTGCAGGGAAGTCTCACATACGCGTGTCTGCTGCTGCGTGTCGCTCTCATTTGTCGCGCTGCTATTCGGTGGGGCCAACACAGTCTCAGGCGCCGTACCGTCAGGACAATTGGTCCCATGATCTTCATCCAGACGGCACGAGACAGATTCAGCCATGACAGATGAGGGGCCGGACTGTTGGTCCACTGGCGGAGAAGGCCTTGCTTCTCCCTGCACGAGACACGCAGACAAAGCGTTAAGCCTTCCAGGTCTTCTTCTCCCTTACTGAGTTGACCCCTGTCATGAAAGAGTGATCGTCAGCGACAGTCAAGGGGCCAAGCTGTTGGTCCGTCACCTGAGGGGCTGTTCCCTCTCGCTGCATTACAACACCAGCACCCACCGAGATGCAAAGATGACTCGCTCGCTGGCCTCAATGAATACCTGTGTGTGTACGGAATAGGGGATTGACAGAGTCAGCACGATTGCGAGGCCGACTAGTACTGCTCCGGTAAAGCCACATCCAAGCAGCAGAACGGCAACCAGCAGGACCGCCACGTTGATCGCCGTCTGGCTGCCGGGCACACGTCGCAACTCTAAGTGAAGAAGATCATGGGCCACCTTCAGAAGACCTTGACCAGTCTGACGAAGACCCTGAGCCACCTGTAACATACAGGCAAAAGGAGAAGAAGTATCGGGCACTCGCTCTGTGACAGGCCATTCTGAGTTCTACCAGGGTGAAACCAGTCGGTGTCGGCTGTCTCCTCGAGTCGTAATTCGAGTTCTGCGATCCCATCGGCACGACAAGAAATGGCGACGATATGACACACGCAGGTAAGGTGTTTACTTCTCTCTGACCGATGGGGCACTTGCGAGTTGATTGCCAGTGTCCAGTTTCTTCTTCGGTGGCTGCTGGCGACGGCCGGTGTCCGCATCCACTTGAGAAGGGCGCGGCTGAAGCGGAAAGGAAACATCAGAATGTGGGTCAACACTTCTGCTTCCTCAGCCACTTACGTCAATGTTTGTGCTTGCTCCTTTGCTGCTTGAGCCGCTTCTGGACGACGGTGGAGGCCGTTTGGGACGCACAAGAGCGCCGCGCTTCTCCTCTCGATCAGGTCCGTGTTTCTCTACCTGAATGAACAAATGACAGCAGCACTGGGCTTCTCGTCCCCTAAAGAGTCGTTCTGTCCATCATCTTACGTCCATATTGTTGCCTTCTGAGCACTGCGATTGCCTGCCTGCACCGTCTTCTCCGCCCATCTGCACATCTCGGGTGTACGCAGCGCTAGCGGCCGGCTGACGAGCAGACGAAGACCCTCATCAGTGGAATCGCCTGTTGATGGCCTTGCATGTGCGTACCTCTCTGCTGGTCGACGACGCACGCCGCTTGTCAGGCTCATTGGACCGATCGATATCGTGCGTCTGCTCGTTAGGGGAGACTGGAATCCCGTCAGAGTGTGCAGTGGTGGCAGAAAGCGCACAGACGCGATGAGTAAAGGATCGGAGGCCGATTCGTACATCCGATTACCTGTCTGGGGGGGCCTTTCACGTGCAAGCCCAGCGGCGCCATTTCCCTCACGAACCTACATGCGCAAAAGAATATAGTATCCAGTCGGCCGCTACAATACCCGTGCACACACATCTCACCTGGACAGGAGGAGACGGCACGGGGGTACCCGTCACTACAACGCCATTGCCTGCCACGTGTGCGATCGAATCCGACAGCCGACCTCCTTCTCGCGTGGAGGGGGTGGGCGTCTGCGTGTTTGGGGGAGGATTCTCATCGCAGTTGGCACTGTGGGCAGCTGCCGCGGCTGCAGCGACATGTGATCTCTTCTCGTCACGCACCTGGTCCTGCGGGACAGGCAAATATATGGATGCAAGAGGCACAGCGGGTCATATCCTTCTTTGCTTCAGACTGTCGCTGTTTGCTGGCGGTGCTGTGTACCTGTTCGCTCAGACCATTAAGATCTGAGCGCACTCCTGCCGCTGTCGCTGGTGCTGATGCTGATGCTGATGCCTGCTGCACGACTGCCCCCTCCAGCGGATCTGATTGTTGTGAGCCGAGTGACGGGGTCAGCAGCGTCGATTGCGGGTCCGCTGGCAGATGGCGGTGGGGCGAATGAATCTGCTGCTCTGTTGCACTCGCCGGCGCCGATGAGCCAGCAATGAGCGGTGGGGGGCCGCACGCTGGGAAGGGGGCCGCAGATAAAGGACATGGACCACATCCCTGCATACAACATAAACATGCACTCAGATACAAGAGCAAAATCGACGAGTGGGGTTGGTTAGTCTCTTCAGCTACCTCGGGCAGAGGATTGCCATGGGTTGAATCTTCCGTGTCCTCCTCATCTTTCGACTGCACAACGGATATGTTCGTCGCCGCAGAGACACATTGACGAGATTCACGGCTATTCCTTACCGTCCTTTCGCCGGTGCATTTGTCAGCCTGGGCGGCGGCTGCTGCAGCTGCGGTCTGTCCATTGAGCCCGAAAGACTGGATGAAGCACAAAGGCAGCAATGAACCCATGCAAGGTGAGGTTGCTGTGTCCGTTGTCCGTCCCACCTGCTGGCATCGTTTCTGAAAGCCCTTGATCCATGAGTCGCTTGCCGAGAAGCCATTGCCGCCAACCTCTATGCCCAGACGCTTGGCGACTTCAAGCGATTCGGCCCTGATGTCCGCTGGAGGAACGGTCGCGGGGTCCTCTTGCTTGGCCATCCACTGTAGCATCTCGTTATCGATCTCGAGATACTTGGGCTGCCTGTTGCGCTTCCTGGTCAGGTCAGTCACCAGCTTGCCCGCCTCTCGCTGCTTCTTGATGGCGTAGTACCAGCTCCTGAATTGACTCAGATCGATTTTTCTCATTGTCGCGAACTGAGGCATCGAGATATCACAGCCGTCCTGCTTGAGTCGCATAAATTCGTCCACCAGCCGCAGCCGCTCGCCAATCGTCACCTCACCTGCCTTCTCACCTGCCTTCTCAGCGGTTACCTGAAACAGACACAAATACAAGGCTGGATGGTGCAGCAACGTCGTCCCGATTCGGACTACCTGTGAGGACCGTGGTTTTGTTGCCCTTATTGTGGGCACCGATGGCGGAAGCGACTCTGTCCGGTCTCGTGATGACCCGCGTTGTCCTGTGGCCTGAATGAAGCAGCAAGCAGACAGGAAGTAAGCCTTCGACGTTCACGTACCGGCACTTTGGCTTACGACTTGTGGATGACCCTCTCTATCGGTATTGTCGCTGGGCGTATCAGGGACACCCAAACCCACCAGATCTTGGCCGTGCTGAATGAAGCAAACACACGCAGTCACTTGCAACTTACCAAGCGTCCCTGAGCCACGCAACCCCTGACCTTCCTACCTGTGCCATCCCGGAGGAAGGAACAGCTCGGGGAAGAACCATTGGGGGCAGTGTTTGTCGGTCGCGCTGATGCGCTGGAATGCTTTCAAGTGTCCTGCCGCGCTCATCATGCGGCCGATGCTCGGACACAGCAGCGGGCGGGTCTGTTTCCTGAGGACCTCATCTCTCGAGGGCCCTACAGGGCACAAACCCGCACGTTTGCCTGTCAGGACCGGCCGTGAGGGATTGCTTTGGGGACGTGTCTGCTGTTATGGATCGAGCTTGGGTTGCATGGTGGTTTGGTAGGGTATGTGAGGGATTGCTTTGGGGACGTGTCTGCTGTTATGGGTCGAGCTTGGGTTGCATGGTGGTTTGGTAGGGTATGTGATAGTCGCTTGTGCGATTGCGTTTGATGGGCTGTTTGCTTTATGTCAGACTGCTGCTATCATGCATGTCGTCCATATGGTGCGCATGTGTTTCTGCGATTGCTTGTGCCTTTGCGTGTGTGCAAATCCGTACCGACTCTAGATCAGACGTGCTGGTCGCCCATGCTTCCGTGTAAGTCAACCGATAAAAAAGAGGCAATAGGGATTAGCTGTCGCTAGGGTAGCGCGAAACCGCTCTCCCTGGCTCGCTCCACCCACAGGATGACAGCCCCCCTAGTTTGCAGCGCTACATGAATGAGTGGATGACAGGCTATCGTCGTTCCAAATTCTGCGTCGTGTGCGTGGGATGTCAGGCCAAGCAAGGCCGCACCGGCAGCCTCATTGTGTGTCAGCGCATCGTTCGCTCCTGTGTGTGTGTGTGGGGCGGCAGCCGCTAGAGATGAGGATGGCCGACGCGCAAAGAGAAAGGAAGAACTGAGGCAGACAATCACGGCGAATAAAGCACCTCATTTAAACTCACTGTCGCTCTCTCTGTGTGTCTTTGTCTTTGTGCAGCCTGGTCTTGTCAACTGCATCACGGCTTTCCTGCCTATCTGCTCGCCCTGCTATCGATCACGGCCTTGGAGCAAACAGCACCCACACACAGCCACCTCACCATCAACAGCAGGAACAGGAACGAGCAGTCGGTGTGGCAGCGGGTCCCTCTCTCTCTCTCTCTCTCTCTCTCATCGAATGGTCGAAGAAACTTACCCGGCTGACGACAATCACTCTCCGCTACCCGTGGGCGCGGCTCTGTGGTGCATTGAAGTATTCATCACCGCGATCGAGGGTCATGTTACCGGCCGGAGAGCAGCCAACATCCAGGACGGCACCCTGCACACCATCACATTGGAGGGATGCCGTCGGCCGTCACCATCTGGCGCCCCTCGTCCCCCCCATCGCTCGATGCGCTCACGACCATCACCGGCCTCCTTCGCAATCATCACGGCCTTGCCAACAGAGGGTGGCGCATGCCATCACTGGAGCGCCTGGAGCAGAGAAAGTGGGAGTGGTGGGCCTCGTCACAGTCGCTGCAGCACGTGGGCGGTCACCGGCTGCTGGGTGAGGCGTGTGTCGGTATGTTCGAGCGCGTGCCCAGGGCAGCCACTTGCACGTCTGCAGAGTATCGCAACCATCCAGCTGGGCTTCACTGCTGCCGGTCGCGGCCGTGCAGTGGTCGACAGACTGCAGGTAAGTAATCAAAAAGATGCACGTGCAAGACGGGCTAAATTTGGACGCGGCTCACCACATTGGTGGTGGTGTTTCTCCGTGTAGGCTGCACTCACATCGCGTGGGTGCTGCCGGTCCCTTAATCAGCTGAGAGTGGCGATGCGCTTCTTCGTCATCGACAGCACTGTCCTTCCCATCTTGCAGTCCCTCGCCTCTCTACACAACGCGTGCTGCCCACCCGACGCCCAAGTCGCATTCGAGAACCGACATGTGGCAATATCGGGGTCTCGCTATTCTTCCCCCTCCTGCTTCTTGAAATTGGCGTTTCGGGCAGGGGCACGGGCGGCCTCTGCCGGGAAGTACACTTTCAGCCAGCAACGGCACAGAGGTCGGCAACAACTCCAGCATCGACACACAGGACGTTGCTCCGCGGACCAAGCTAACTGCCGGGAAGAGGCAGAGGAATGCATCCATCGCCCTCGTGGGTGTATGTATGTGTTCAGGCTGTATGCAGTAGCACACAAGAACACATACGCAGCATAGATGCCGACAGTTGCTTGGTGAGTACATGCATGGGTGGATGATTGGATGTGTGCTGCTGTGCGTCGGCTGATGAGGCCCATTTCACACGCACACCATGCACACTAAGACACAGACACCAACACTCGCACTTTGTGCTAACAGACACAGATATGGATGGCATCAATATGCGTGTGCATGTCGGCTGTGTAGGGGGTAGAGAAGCGGCCTCTTGACTGACGTCGCTTGCAGTGAGGCAGGCAGGCATGTGTCTGTAGGAGAAGATACATTTTTTGCCGTTGGTGTGCAGACATACAGTTATGTCTCACACGGATGGGATGAGCGTCTGTGTGATGATGTCCATACATACCTCGGCGGTGGAATGGTGAATGTATGCACGTACATCCGTACGGTTCGCGCACACTCCGTAATCCACACAGATCGGAACGTCCGTGTGGCAATTTCTTTCCGTTGATCTGCCTCTTTTTGCGTGTCCATCGGTGGTGTGTGCGCGATCCTTCCTTCTTTCCTGTACGTGTGGTCCTTACATATGTGAGGTTCTTGTATTCTGTTTTGTACGTAACTACAATGGCTGCCAACGGCGGTTCATACGTGTGACCGTCGCTTTATCATCATTGTCCTGACGTGTTGGTAATGGATGGCTGATTCTTCATTCCCAAGCAGTCAGTCCATCTCTCGCTGTCTGCCGTGAGTTGTAGAGGACCCCTGTCTGCATGGCACTGAGCCCCTTGCGATGGCTCGGTGGACGTGTGAGGGATTGTCAGAGTGCGTTTGGATGTCTACTGAACCCCTCATCTACTTCATCGAGAACAGCCTGTTGCTGTCTGTCTGTCTGTCTGTCTGTCCGTGTGAGTCTGTGTCGGCTGTCTGTGGGGGGCTGGTGGCGGTTCGTATCGCAGTGGCGGTTCTGCTGTGTGGGTGAAGGTCTGCGTACGCATGTGTGCGTTGCATGTCCGTCTACGGGTCCGTGACGGTGTGGCGGCGATCGAGGAACAGCCTTGGGTGTGTGTCTGTGCGGTGGCGGCCTCTCGTTGCTCCACTCCCCCGCCATGGGGTGAAGTGGACCGGCGTCAGCGCTCTCCTGTCTGTGCGTGTCATGTTCCTTATGTACTACACAGTTGCTGTCATTCCTCGAAGGCACGATACACACACAAGGATGTCCACCACACATACACAGCAAAAACTGTCCGAAGTCAGACACTCTTGACAAACATGTCCGACCTCATAAACGCATAAGCTGGTGAAACGTGCCTGCACTGTGATCAGCCATCACACCACAGGATGTCTGTCTATCTCCTAGCGACACTCATGATCTTGACATGGTCCTTGTGGAACACCGCGTATTCATTCCTGTCTTGCACAAACACCGAGTCGTATCCCTCCCTCCTCAGACTCTCGAAGGTGTGCTGCGTCGCCTGCTGCGAGGAGATCATCTTCTGCTTCCCCAGGAAGACTTGCGCCGTCACCACATAGCCTTTACGGTGTGCGAGGCGGTCAGTCGTCGGGATGTCGGGCGCAAAGTAGTTGGCTCCGCCGAGCGAGCCGCCGGAGCCCGGGAGCATCTCTCCCGACTGCCCAATCGCCGCTGCTGAGGGGGCGTCGGTCTGGTGATACAGGGTCCTCATGCCTTGACCCGTCACCCAAAACGGGCATTCTGATGCAGACACCAAGGCAAGATGTGCGAGCATGGCCACCCAGCGATGTGTGTCCCTCTAGCTGGATCCCTCTTACCCGTACGGCGGTGGTCCGAGTTTCGACTCTTGCAGATGTTGCAGAAGTGCCGTCCTGTCTGTTTGCACCAGCCGGTGTTGTGGCACCCACGTGCGTTGCAGTGGAGACCCATCGCAACGTGTTGCACAGAATCAAGACGCGAGCGACGGCAATGAGACGTCCCAGGTAAGAGAATCGGACAGGAATTGGGCAGGTTTTCCCACCCCCGAACCGTAAATTTGCAGGTTTCCCACCGAAACAAGGAACCGTCGAAGTGTGATTGAAGACAATGGCGCGCTGCAGGGTGAGGGCGACGGAAAGACAAGCACACAACACACAGATGCTGTCACATGTCTGTATATGTGTCCGTGGCTCTCCCAGGCCGCTGGTTGCAAGGAGGTGTGCACACATGCAGCCACAGCAACAATGCACACACTCGCCACCTGTCTACCATGTCCGTGTTGTCGCTTCAGAACCACGCCAAGCACTACTGCCGCGTCTGCCGCAATGGTGACAGCGACCATCGCGCCAAGAACTGCCCAATCCTGAGAGCCCACCTCAGCGGCGGCCGATGCATCGGCTACCATCAGACTTCTCCCGCGTTCGGCCGCCAGATCAGACAGACGCGCGTGATGCAGCCCAGCTCGTCAGGGGCGGCTGGCCGCGGCATCTACTTTGCCATTCGGCCTGACGAGACCGAGAGGAAGGCCCGCCACAAGGGCTGCATGGTGAAGGCAGAGATCCGCATGAGCAACCCCAAGCACGTCTGGCAGGCACTGTCCCCCAATGAGACGTACGCATCGCTGGCGGCTCAAGGGCATGATGGTGTGGTTGTGCATAGGTACAAGTCGGGTGTCGAGATCGTTGTCTATAACTCAGAGCAGGTCAATGTGCTGTCGGTCCAGGACATGTGAGCGACGCAGGCAGTGAAGACATTCGTTCTGTCGATTTCTTCCTTCAAAGACGAGACACCAATGCATTATTCACCTTCCTGCCTGCCTACCTGCAGTGAGTCAGTGGATCGTTCAGTGTCTGTCTCTCTGAGCACACGAATGGAGTGACGTCCGACACATCAGCCATCGCACCGGGAGCATCAGACACCAGCAAGGACCCACCCGAACCACAATGACACAATGGGCAATCTAGCACCCGCCCACCTCTCACCTAACCATTGCATAAGGCAGTCAGCCAGGCAGGCTCCACAGATCACATAAGGCAGTCATTCCGCCACGCCCCTCTCACACAGTCATCAAGAACCCGCCACCAGTCGACCCACTGCCCTGTAGTAGTGCCATTAGCGGCGGCAGTGAATAAGACACATATGCATCAGAGACATAACACACCCATCCCCCACCAGCACCTAATATCGTCCAGCCCCCCTGGCTAGTTCAAAAATGAGTCGACGTCGACAAAAGGGTCATCGTTATTCCCATCGCTAGAAGGGTCTGCATTGGTCCTCATGCCACCGTGGCCGGCCGATGCGGTGGAGGCATGGTGGATGGGTGTGCGTCTGCCCAGAGCCTGAACAGACCATCGCGGAGATGGATGAGCCCGCTGTGTGTGAATGTGGTCCGTCGCATGGTACCTCACTGGTGGGCGAGTGCTGGGCGTCGTTCGCCTGCTCCATCAAGTCCATTGGAGCACCATAGTCGATGGCTGGGGGGGGCACTGGCAGCGGCGATGAAGCGTACACGCCCGACGGCTGAAGGAAACACACACGCACAATGACCATCATGACGTACACACCATCGCTTGACGGCTTGCCTGTAAGGTGTTGTGTGCAAGTGCATGGCTGGCCACTGGTACGCCCCCGGCAGCGACGGCGGCAGCAGCTGTCTGCATCAGCTCCGCAGTCACCGGCACGCCCGTGGAAATCGCCGGCAAGATTTGAGGGTGTGACTGCAGCGGATGGAACCTGAATGGAGAGCAGACAGAGGCACACGCGCAGACAGAGCTTTCTGTTTCGGTGCGGTGTGTGTGTGTGGCTGTTTCCGGCTCACCGGCGCTGCGTGTGGTTGTGTGCAGACGGCAGGGGCACCTGACAGACATTGGCCCCACTTGCGACCTGACAGTGACAGGGGGTGACAGAGTGCAGCCAAGGACGCTGTCATCTGGCCGGCCAGCCCGCCAACATTCGTGTAGGTGGCTCACCTGAGCATGATTGTTGGCTTGGTCCTGCCCATCCTCACGTCCACGGTGTCTGGCCGACTTGGCAGCGCGGTCCTGCAGAGACGAAACAGGGCGTGAGGAGTCTTTGTATGAGTGCGCTGCTTCTTCGTTTGTGACGTGCATCTAGAGGTCGTACCTGAGGGTCGCTACTGGTGACAGTGCCGTTGGGTCGCTTGGGGCGGGGCGCCTGAGATGAGAAGAACGAAGTCCCAAGAGGCACACACATCAATCGACACACACATCAATCGACACACACACACATACGGAGAGAGGGCAGACAGTTGGTCTCACCGGGGGGATCGGCAATTGAAGAGGACGGCCGGCACGAGCAGCAGCAGCAGCAGCCTGCAGTAAACAGAGGCAGCGCAAGGCACATTCAGGTTGCCAGTGCACGGCAGGTACCTTGCGTCTTTCTCACCTGCACACCGTCAGCCCCTCTCCCGATCATATCTTCAACGACGTTTCTGAAGCTTCTGCCTTGCTGGGCGGAAGCCATGACAGCCTGCACGACAGCCACGGTTAGGCACATAGCGAGAGGATCTAATGCTGCGTGTGGCCCTTACCTGGTAGATGAAGGGATCCACCGACTGCCTCCGCAGCTCCAGCTGCATACACACACACATCAGGAATGGGACAGTGAACATGTGTC